GAACCTCACTGAGCTGGACAACTTTGAGCATGTCACTTGAAGTCTCCAGGCCTCACTTCCCTTATCTGGGATGTGAGGGGAAATAGACCCTTCCTGGTAATAAAGACTAAATGCAATAGCATGTGCTCTGTGTTTGGAACAGGACCTGACATGGAAGAAGAGTAAATAGTGAGCACTTGGTTGGTTCTTCCCTCCCAGGTAAGCTGGTGGTTTAAGTTGATTCTGACTTTTCTTGAATTCCCACATTAGGAATGTTAGCTTTGGGGGTCTCTAGGCCTCTCGTGGACCATGCCATGGGGCTGAAAGGCTCTGAGAAGGCCTCTGTCTTGTCTCACTGGAGTGGAAGTTTCTGTAAAACCCGGAGATGCAGCATGCCAAACCAGCCCAGCTCCACTCCTGGCATGGGGACCAAACAGTGACTTTGAAAATGTGTGTTTTCCTGGATAAAACCTCTAATTGGACAATTGTAGGTCTTCTGGCTCTATGTAGACTTTATAACTTTGAAAGCTCTGAAGCTGGGGCGAGGGAAAATTTATGAATGGGATTTCTTTATTTCTGTAGCACACTGACTCACGCTGTTGACCCAACTAGGGGGCAGGGATTCCATTACTTGCTAATTTCTCCCTGCCAGGTGGTCCTTACTCTGCCAGCTCCCTCCGGGAGCCACAGCCAGGGGCACAGAAACCCAGGACAGGGTTTCTGGCTGCTAAAAAAATTGTCCTGAGCCCAGATTGATTTCCCAGGCAAACGACTATGGTGCTTGGGACTTTCTCAAGGAAGCTTTACAGTTTTCTCTTAAATTTTGAAAGCTTATTTTACCCAGATTTTAAAGTCCTTTTATAGAAAAGTCTCACAGTTTGCATTAGCGTCATCTGGCTCAGAGGGAGGGCTTAACCCCAGAGCTCTTTGTGGCAGAGCTACGAAGACCTGTCTGAGCCAGCGTAGCAACGACACTGAATTTCACTTAAAGATTGTGTTAAGGTAATGTAAGCTTCTATAACTAAAAGACCCCAGAATGTAGAAAGGCTCAAACAAAATAGAAATTTATTTCTCATTCACAAACTAGTCCAAGGCTGATATTTCTGGTCTGTGATTTAGGAACCCAGACTCCTTCCATCTTATGGCTTCACCATCTTCTCTAGATGCTTGAACTAACCTGCAACTAGACAATGGAAGGTGAAAAAAAACATGGCAAAGGCTGACCCACTTCCTAAAAGCCTCGGCCTGGAAACGGCTCTCATCACTTCTTATATTCCCCCTGCGAGGTCACGTGGTCACATGTAGATGCAAATGGGGGCCGGGAACTGTAGTTGCTTGTTGGGAAACCCTTTCACATGGACAACCACATACTATGAAAGGGAGAACGTGGATTTTGGTGGACAGTTAGTAATATTTGCTGCAGAAAGGGAAATATACCAAAATTGAGGCCATAAAGTGTTAGATAGATAGGGGGCCATTACGCCTAGCACCATGAAAGCTATCACTATTTTTGTCTGTGAATCTCCAGTGCTTCTAACAGTGCTGAGCATATAGCAAGTTCTCAGTAAATGTTTGAATGAGAGGAATGAATGAACAGATGGATGAATGAATGAATGAGTATTCTATGAGTTTGATTTCTTTGTTTCCTGGCTTAGGCCATCTAATAGAAAGTCCAGATTCCTGGTCAATTGCTTCAGGCCACCTGGAGAATGTATCCTTTCCACCCAGAGTCCAAGAGTTGGTCAAATATTCCCCCAAAAGAATCCAGACACTTTCAGCTAGTTATTCAATTTAAAAAATTGCTTTTATTGAAGAAAATAAAAATTATATAAATTTGAGACCATCCCAACCAATCCAGTGCATGGATGTTGTACCCAAGAATCCACAGGATTTCCATTTAGAAATCCCCTTAGAGGGCAAGTAGTCCCACAACTGCAAATGTGAACAAGCCAACCCACTGGACGTGGCTATCTGGCATTGGATTCTGCGGGAAAGCGTGTTGGGAGTGATTAGTGATGTGTGCCATAGGCAAGGGGAAGCGCAATGGTAAGCCAAGTCCCATGTTTTTGAGTGGCCTTATCAAGTCTAAGATTCCTGTCTTTTCTATGTAAGAGTGAGGATCGAAGAGGAGGGGAGATGGGCGCTGCCACTGGAGATTTAGTTGGGAAGGTCTGGATAAGGTCGTGATTGGAGCTAGAAACTAAATGAATGAGGACAGGAAGAGGTAGGCCAGCTGGAAAATGATGTCCTGGAAACTTCCCTTGGAAATTCAAGAAAGCTAAGAGCTAGGGACTGCTCAGCTCCTGTGGCCCTTCTGAGAGAGAGAAGCAGAAGCACAGCACAGGGCGTGCTGTGGTTTGGAATCTGAGGCTTGGTCAACATTCAAGGGTGTTATGAGCAACTTGTTTTCCCCTAAAATTCAAGTGCTGAAGCCTTAACTCCGAGTGCCTCAGAATGTGACTGTACATGGAGATAGTCTCTTAAAGAGGTAGTTAAGGTAAAATGAGGTCATTGCAGTGGGTACAAATCTATTATGACTCAGGTGTCGTAATAAGGGGAGATTAGGACATAGATACACACACAAAGGGAAGAGCATGTGAAGACCCAGGGAGCGGGTGGCCATCTGCAAGCCAAGCAGAGAGGTCTCAGGAGAAACTAACCCGGCCCTCCACAACTGTTAGAAAATAAATTCCTGTCATGTAAGCCCCCCAGCTGTGGTACTTGGTTACGGCAGCCCCGGTGGACTAACACACGGGGAGGTGGAGTCTGCTCTCCTTGCCTGTGTTTCTCTCCAGGGCAGGAGCCACCAGGCGGTGCATGAGCTCAGCAGGCAGTGGAAAATGGAGGGAGGCTCTCCTGGGCCTCTGGAATGCCCTGAAGCTTAGATCCCTGCAGGCCGCCCGTGGTGACCAGGGTACAAAGGGCGCTGTCCAGCCCATGAGCGCCATGACTCACCGCTACCTGGTCCCTCCTCTGTGCTTCCCTGTGCCGGCTGCTGGGGGTCCAGAGACATGTGGTTATGGCCCCCAACCTGGGTGAGCGCAGTCTGGAGGGAGGGAGAGAAGTCCTGTATTTTCTAGATCCTAAGATGGCATTGATTACAAAATGCTTTATCAATTCAATAACAATGTTTCAGGAAGTAAGACATACTGAGAAGCCTGGATTGTAAGAACTATCCTGATTTTGGTGAAGTAAAAGGGGGCCCCCAGCATGTCTTTGAATCAAAGAAGTAAAATCAATGCTTAGAGTACTAGTCCGTGTGCACTATGACGAGGAGGGTGCCAGGGAGGGTGTGACTGATTCTGCCATAGGAGGGAGGTCAGGACCCTAGAGAGGGGACATCAGAGGAGGAGTATACCAGACCGACAAGGCAGGAATGGTGTTCCAGCAGAGGGAACCTCACAGGCAAAGGAACAGGGTGCAGGCATATCTACAGCAGCAAGAATGGATGAAAGGAGCAGACTGAGGTGAGGCTGGACAGGCAGACCGAGTGTGGACTGCGAAGGGCCTGGAATGCCGTGCCCAAGGCTCTCAGTGTCATCTGGATCAGAGGGTGGGAGATGAGGCTGCAGGCCAGGACAGAGCCCCAGCTCTGTTCAGAACAGGGGTCCCCGAAGCAGATCAGCCATTGCAGCTCCTCCTCCTCCACAGCTCCCAGCGCGGGTGCGCGGGTGCTTGGTAACCAAGGGATGGTCTATTTAAAGCCACTTCTAAGTTGGCTCTAGAAGGCACACATTGGATGGAGAGGGAGAGAGGGAAGGAGCTTGTCAGGAGGAAGAAGCCCTGAAAGGGATCAGCTCTGCCCCTGAGCTCACTGTGGGGCTTGTGGCAAGTCCCTGCCTCTCTCTGGCGCTCACCCTCCTCAGTACCTCATAGCGCGCAATCGTGCGGCTTGGGAGCCCGCTCTGTGCGTCTAAAACCAGGCTTCACCACTCATGACCTATGTGCTTTGGTCCCATTACTTCACCTTGGGCCTTAAGTCTTCTCCTGTGTGAAATGGGGATAATAATAGTTCCTAACTTTTAGAGTTGCTGTGAGGATTAAACGAGATAATGCATGTAGAACACTTTTAACAGTGTGAGGCACCTGCAAAGCTCAATTGTAAAACATTGTGATGATGATGATGATGATGACTGTGTTGGACTAGCTTTGTGGGCTGTAAACCTAAAACCCATGGAAGCTTTTTTCCAACATATTTGGAAATTCAACATGTCAGAAAGGTCACATTGAGCTCTTCTGGCTGAAATAAGTGGGGACACCGAGCCCAGGCCCTGAGCACTGCTCTTCCCCGGGGCTGTCTCCCGCCCGCCTGGGCGCCCCGACAGAACCCTCAGGCTCTAGAAAACTCAGGTTGAAAGCAGTTGTCCCAGAGGAATGCAGAGGTCCCTCTCAGCTGTTCCTTTTAATCTAATTCTTCCTTCCGAAGCTTGAGTATGTGTCTGGAAAAACTGTCCTTTACAGCTCAAAATCCGTTTTGCAGAAGCATCAGCTGAGCCAGGCCCCAGGGACAGTCTGGTAAAGGCAAACCGAAAGCGACGTGGGGAGGCAGGGAAGGCATTCGAGCGACAGCTCCCACTGCAGAGCCCCACAGCCAGCCCATGCCACCTCCACAGGCTACTGCGAGAGATTTGTATTTAAGGAATTTGACATGTTGTGATTCATCTTCCTGCCCATCAAAGTCACCTTAGTTCTTCTAGCACTTGAGTCAAGACTTATTTTCAAGGCCTTTTAAAAAGATCCCATGTTTGGTCCACAGTTGTTCTGTCCACCAGCCTTGTCACAGTTTTCTTAGTTGGGCTGGGTTGTGTGTGTGTGTGTGTGTGTGTGTGTGTGTGTTATCTCCACTTGAATACAGACATATTGATGACATACTACATAAAGTATCCCACTAGCATCTTTGGAATCTAGTTTCTTCAACTAATTCACATTGGGGCTCTAGAAGTTGAACGGCAGAAAGTGCATTGCTGTCTTGGCCAATGTCGCGGTGGTGTTACATTCCATTTTCACTCAGGACACGAGCAAAATATTACAGGTCTCATTGTCACCATCAAAACAAATTTACTGAGATAGGAGTATAGGCTGTGTCTCAGTGTAGCCCCATTAACAACTTCTGGACGCTGAGCAGCAGTGCCCAGACTCGTTCAAGAAAGAGGCTTCACCTCCACATTTGTTAGGCTAAGTTATGCAGACGAGACTGTCTCCACCAGCCACAGTCCAGGGAGCTTCTCATCCTTTCGCCTCTAAGGGGTTGGCGCTGCCACTGCCCTGTGAGGGGCTGTCTCTCTTCTGCACTGCACTTCTTGCCCTTTCACTTCCATTCCCTAGCACAGGTGCCCAATAAATTGATATTGGGTCAATCAAATGAAATTGCATGTGGACACCTCTATGTGGCTGACTCAGCAATGACCCCGACAGACCTGGATCCTGACCACAAAGAGGTTACTATTGGGCAGGGAAAATAAATAAGTACAAGTGTGACAGGGTTCATGAATTATTCTGGACAGAGTCCAGAATAATTTTGGAATTAAAATTCCAAAGTCCAGTATAACTGTTGTGGGCCCCAGTTCCCATGAGAGGCAGGGTTTTGCCTTCAGGACTTGCTGGCACTGCGCCTTGGGAGGACCCTGGAAAACGTCATCTTGGAGTCCTTAAATGGAAGAGCACCTTGCTTCCCGGGACTTCAGAGCCCAACGTGGTGCTCTGCCCAGGTTTTTCAGCATAAATAGAAGGCTGGCCCCCTGTTGTGTCCACTGCTTTATTGTACATGTGCTTTAGACATTGGACTTTTGGCTTCCATGGCAGACTTGGAGGCCCCAGTGAGCAAAAGCTAGCAGAAGGAACCCAGTCCCCAGCCTCTTGTTCAGATCCCATCTTCATTGACTGCCCTCTGCTTTTCCTTAATTTGCATCTGTCTTTAGTTACGTGCCAGCTGCTTCAACTACCTTGGGCTTGTCACTGTTTTCCAAGTGCTTCCATTCCTAACTGATCAGGTTCTCTCTGGAATGCCTTTCTTGTACTACTGCCTCCTTTTACACCTACTGTGTAAGAATGTGCTTCTATTCATTCCTCAAAAATAATCCTAAAGGCCACCTCCTCCAGGAAGCCTTCCTAGATTTCCACAGTTGGAATTTTTTTTTAAACTCTTCTCTCACCTGTGCCCATATTGAACTTATACACATATGACATTCTGCATTGATTTGAGTTAAATGTCTTACTTTCCTTACTGTGCTATAAGCTCAATGAGGGTAAATCTTTTTATCTTACTGGCCTTTGTACCTGCATGTATGTGAGAAGTTCATGGATTTTGGCTTCAATTATTAGGTCTTGCTGGATGTGTGAACTTAGATAAGTTATCTAATGCCTCTGAATCTTAGTATTTCAGTCTGTAAAACGGAGATTTAAAACAGCCTTTTCTTACAAGCTTATTGTGAGCATTAAATAACATGACTTGTACGAAGTAATAATGGCAATGAAATCCTAATAATGTGAGCTAACATTGATTAAGTGCTCACTTAGGCAGTGATCTAAACTCTTCACAAGCAGCGCATTTAAAACACAGGTGTGCAGGAAGTTACAAAACAGTACAGAGAGGTCTCTTGTCGCCTTCCCCCAGTTCTCCCCAACGGTTGTATCTTATATAGTTAGAGCCCTGGATCAAAACCAGGAAACTGACATTGGCATGATGGTGTGTGAGTATAGTTGTATATCATTTTATCACCTGTTTAGATTTGTTTACCCGCAATCAAGATACAGAACTATTTATCTCCACACAGATCTCCCTTCTATGCTATCCCTTCATGGTAGTGCCTGTCCTTCTCTCCTCCACCGTCCCAGCTCCTGGCAACCATGGCTATGCTTTCCACCTGCATGATTTTATTATTTCAACACTGTTATCTAAATGCGACGACACAACATGTGACTTTGTGAGACTGGAATTTTTTCACTCAGCACAATTATCCACATCATTGTGTGGGTCAAGAGTTCATCCCTTTGCTCTCGCTGACTAATATTTCATGGTATGGATGTAGCACAGTTTAACCATGGAAGGACATCTGGGTTATTTCCAATTTGGGGCTATTGCAAATAAAGCTGCTAGAAATATTCATGGATGAGTTTTTATGTGAAAATGTCTTCATTTCTCTGGGATAAATGCCCAGGAGTACAATTGTTGGTTTATATGGTAAGTGCATGTTTAGTTTTTCTAAGAAAGAGTCAACTTGTTCCAGGGTGATTGTATAATATTACATTCCCGCTGGCAATGTATAAGGACTTCAGCTTCTCCACACCTCCATCAGCATTTGGTGTTATCACTACTTTTTATTTTACCTGTTCTAATAGGTGAATAGTTAACATCTCTTCATGGTCTTATTTTCCATGTCTCTAATAGCTAGAGATGTTGAGTATTTTCTCACATGCTTTTTTGCCATCTGTATGTCTTCTTAGTTAAAATGTCTCTTCATGTCATTTGCCCATTTTCTAACTGGACTTATTGTTTGTTTGGTTTTTAAATTGAGGTGTAATTGACATAAAACAATAGTTTCAGGTGTACAGCATAATCATTCAGTGTTTGTATATACTGTGAAATGGTCATCATAATAAGACTAGGTAACATCCATCATCACACAGAGTTAATTGTGATAAGAAATTTTAAGATGTACTCTCTTAGCAATTTTTAAATATGCAGTTCATACTATTAACTATAGTCAACATGCTGTACAGTACTTCTCTGTAGCTTATTTATTTTATACCTGGAAGTTCTACTTTTTGGCTCCCTCCACACATTTTGGCCGTCCCCCAACCGCTACCTCTGGCAACCACCAATCTGTTCTCGATCTGTGAGCTTGGTTTTTTGTGTTGGGTTTTTTTTGTTTTTGTTTTTGGTGGTTTTTTTTTTTTACATATAAGTAAGATTATACGGTATTTATCTTTCTCTATCTGACTTATCTTGGCATAATGCTTTCAAGGCTCATCCATGTTGTTGCAAATGGAAGATTTCCTTCCTTTTCATGGCTGAGTAGTATTCCATTATATATGTACCACATTTTCTTTATCCATTCATTTGATGATAGACACTTAGGTTGTTTCCATATCTTGGTTATTGTAAATAATGCTGCAGTGAACATGGGGGTGTATGTATTTTTCAAGTTAGTGTTTTCTTTAGGTAAATGCCTAGAAGTGGAATTGCTGGATCATATGGTAGTTGTATTTTTAATATTTTGAAGAGCTTTCATACTGTTGTCTATAGTGGCTGGGCGCGTATTATTTCTTTTTTTTAATGTGGAGTGGCGACAGTTGTTTATACGTGCGAGAAATGAGTCCTCTGTCAGGTATGTGGCTTGCACAATTAGCTCGTTTAATCTTTATACCAGCCCACGCAGAGGTTACTACAATTCCAACTTACTAGGTGAGGAGGCTGAGGCACTGAGTGGTAGTACTATGCCTGGCACATAGCAGTGCACAGTTAATAATCATTTATTGAGCACTTACTTGGTTCCAGAATCTGCTTAAGTCCATCTAAGATAAGATTAGACGCCAGCACCTGGACATCAGTGCAGGGAATAATAGGCTTTATGTCTGTGGAACTGAGGCCAGGGGCACACACGCCCCAGGGCACTTTGGTGGGAAGGGTGGGGCTGCTGGAGATAAGGATGCAAAGATGAAAGTTGAAACCAGCTGTGAGCAGAGGGACAAAACACCAGGTCATCAGCCCATTAAGGGACTGAGAAGCTGAAGCACAAGCATTAGAGCAGGCCCGTGCTCTTGTCTGGAAGTCCTAGTAAACCTGCTAGAACTGTCCCCTCTTTTCACAGGCATCCTACCACAGGTTCGATAAACAGCTGGACAGTTCCCACCACAGGGGTTTCTTGTTTTTTTAAGGGAAGGGGTCTCTCCCATGTCTTGCCTTTCCGGGTGCTGAGAGGCAGCCTGCTGTCACGGGAAGCACAGGGCCAGGAGTCGGAATGCCAGGCGCTGGTCCCAGCCTGGTCCCAGCCTGGACTTCCCACCTCCACATTTGTAAAGTGGGAGTGACGACAGAAGCTAACTGGCAGGGTGCTTGTGCAGAGGAAGTGCAGTGCGGAGGCTGAGAACAAGGCTTCCCTCACACACATGGGTTCAGAATGGAGTTCTCTCTCTATCCGTGTGACTTTGAGCAAGACGCTTGACTTTTCTGAGCCTCAGTTCCCTTATCTAGAGCATGGAGACAGTCACGGTTCCTACATTATAGGGTTGCAGATCCAACCCAATTAAAGGAGATAATACATATAAATTCATACACACTTTATTGAGCATTTACTTTGTACCAGAATCTATTTACCTTGAGTCCATTCCAAATACAATTAGGCACCAAGACAAAGATATAGGTGCAAGAAGTTTACTTGAGAGAGGGGAAGGGAGATGAGGAAGGGAAGTCGCTTCTGGGGCTCGGTCCCATGGGCACCCACTGAGAGGTGGTGGGGGACATTTCTTTAGGTAAATGCCTAGAAGTGGAATTGCTGGATCATATGATAGTCATCATAATCACACACAATCACTGCACAGGGCAGTGGGGAGGCTGCCGTGTTCCTCCACCAGCTCCTGGTCCCAACAGGCTGATAGGAGTGCCTGGGGCACTAATCCTCCCACCCTTCACCTGCCCTGCACTGGGGCTAAGCCTATTCCCATGGAAAGAGAGGAGGTAGGGAGAGGGAGAGAGGAAGAGGGAGAAGACGACCCAGGAAGTCAGTGGCAGGTACAAGGAAACCGAACTATCTCCAAGGGGTATGGGTGGGAACTGGTAGCCTGTGCGTCACTGCTTTAAGCACTTAAAATGTTAACTCATTCAATCCCCACGACAACTCGATGCAATGAGCACGATTTCCATCCCTGTTACAACCTAGTTGCCAAAAGCTCACACGCACACACGTCAAAGAACTGAAACTCTTACAAAACAGACTAATCCTTGTTCTGTGCAGTGCACTCTGAAATCTTCTGGGTGTTTTTTTTTTTTTAATTGGGTTATTTTTAAAATGCTATTTGTCACCCACTAAATTGTTTTCATAACCCAGTAGTGGGCTGCGCTCCACAGTTTTGGAACTGACGGTGCCCTGGCATTCTATTTAACAGGACAATGTAGGTGACGGTGATGATGTCATAGGTCTAGCATCAGGCCTGGTG